TGAGCAGACTGGAAAGGTGAATGGAGATTTATTTTGGGGTCCTTTTATGTGTTTTTTGAACTAGAAATGAGAAAATATAATTAAATTTTCTTCTGAATTTCCACCCAGCTCTTGACAAGTAAAAAAGCCAAGGGAAATTTTTTATGTTTACAGCAGGTATTGTTATCAGCCTCTTGCTTGTATTAATATACATTCTTTAAACATACTATTTTTCTTCATCAAACATGGAGCTTTAAGTCTTCATTAACCAGAATAACTCAGCTGAGTAATTACTAAATAGAGCTAAAGACACATTTGACAAAGAGCAGACTAAGAAATAAAACCACACAGTTATAGCATTGCAATTATACCAGGAGTTATGAAAAGGCCTATAAAGAACCCTGGAGTGTGTTCAGATGTCAGAAATTGTTAAATGCATATACTTTTTACAGACACTCAATTGCATTTCTTGCAGTCACAGTTTAAATCTGTTGCCTGTCTACTTCTTTTATTCCTCTTCTTGTTGATGATTTTCTGATGTAAGGGACGAACACAGCCCATCCTGATTTAAGCTCTGGGGTTTATTCAAATGTGCTTAGTAAATGAGGAGCTGAATGGTGCTTCCACACATGCTGTTCACTGCAGAACCAGTCGCTGTGGGAGAAATCTCTGCCTCCTGCACTTCCCCAGATCATGCCAGAAATGAACTGCCTCGTGTGTCCTATCACAGACAGAGAAGGAGAAGTGTTTGCTCTGGAATAACCCCAGCAAGTGAATGGTGTGACTTTACCTATGGAATTGGAGCATGGGCATATGTAGAAGATGTGTTTTCCCCTTCCAGCAGCTGCAGTGAAAGTAGTTCACTGCCTTATTTCATACCTCTACATGAATGTCCATGCTCAGGCATTCACTGTTTACTTATGCTGAGTATACAGTGCACACACTGTACCTCTTCTTCTGCCTGGGAAGGAATAAAGATCTACTGTTCAAGTCAGCCACATATTTTTAAGATCGAGTGATGTGCCAGAAAGGATTTCAGGAACTCCAGAAGTTAACAATTCCATTGCTGCAGTTTGCTGTGCAGATGTTGCTGCTCAGAGGATCAGAACTCACTGCCAGGGTTACCCTGCTTCAGCACTGAAATGGGAATTCAGGAACGACCCTTTGCAGGAGCAGCTCCAGATCAGACAGGAGAGGAAGGGCATCTGGGAAGAAGACTGACCCTGTTCCCTTCTGGTCTGGGTAGCTGTGCATGAACCATGAATGATATAAAACACGAATGAAGGGGTGTTGTGTGAGAATGATGAGAAGCTTAAGGACCAAGTGCTCTGCAGTTGGAAGAAAGACACATTCCCTTTGCTTGCTGGCTGCTGGCAGGCCTGGAGGTCTTGAGTCTGTCAGAGTAGAACTTACACCTGTGATAGATCAAGTTGAGGAAGGGTGCTGCCATCCTCCCTGGGATCTCAGTTCTGAGATCTGAGATCCCAGAACCTCAGCACAAAGCTAATGAGTCCTCTGCACGGGCTTTTTTCATCAGCTGGGTTTCCCTTCCAAGTTGTCTGTAAAGTAAGTTGTGCTCAAAGACAGGATGTGACAAGCCAGCACAGGCTGATGATGAATGAGTAAGGACGTGGAGCTGAGAGTGCTGGAGCCAGTCAGCAGTGAAACCACAGAGCCTGAGAGCAGCGTTTGCCCAGGCTGCTCTCTTTAGTAGAAAAACCCCAAATGTAGTGACCCTTTCCTCATTTGAGGAATCTCTTCTGGATAAATATACCTCAGTTCCATGTGGAAAACCCACACACATAGCAGGAGCTATGCCCAGCAGATGATTGCCACCTAAAGTTTAGTGGCTGCAAATTACCCTCTCTCCAGAGAAAAAGATTTCATCCGGATCTGACTTCAGTCTGATTCAATATGGGTTTTTTTTTAAGGCCTGTTTCTTCATCCACTAATTAGTAGCCTAAATAAAATAAGAATGGAGGTTTTGTGGATTTTTTTCATGGTTTTGTAATGCCTTTTACCAACATTTCTTAACTACAACTTTCCCTAAACCTAAAACGACTGATGTGACCGGCTGGCCTTTCCTATTTCTGGATTTGATTTATGCTGGAGTCTGTGCAGGAATGACTCACAGAGCCTTTACAGAGGCTGCTCAGCCTTGTACAGAGTCTGTGTTGAAATCCAGGGCATGCAGAGGAAGGTCTGCCCAGTGCAGCGTGGGATGACCCAGTCCTCTTCCACGTTCTCTCTCGCACTTTATTCTGCAACAAAACGTGCTTCTCCTCCACAAACTCCTGTTTTAAGGGTGTCTCAAGGTTAAATCATTTGCAGGTTGCTTTCTGAGCTTCAGCAGGGGTGACCTGGCTGTGTTACTTCAAAGCCTTTACTTCTCAGCCAGCAGAGATCGCTGCTGTGGGGAGCACAGAGGGCAGACGGGCAGTGCCTGCCGGTGCCTGCTCCTGTGCCCCCAGGTACATTCCGTGCTGCTCACACCCCGGCCCTGCTGACACAGGGAGATGGGAATGTGTCTTTCTGCAGGAATCAGCATCTTCCTCAGGCTCCGACCGCTTACAGCATTTCCTTCTTAGTTCCAACAGGGAACACAGGGTGATTCATCATCCCTGCCAGCCAAGTTTACAAAAGAGTTTATTCATTTGCTGAGACGGGGGACAAACTTTGATTAAAAACCATAAAATGTGGATGTGATTTTAAAATGTTTCAGCCTGCACAGTGCCTCCTTTGCAAGTAAACCATGGAGGCCACGGTCCCTCAGAGCTGTCCACCCTAAGTGCCCACAGAGAGATTTCAGAGCAGAAAATCAGAACATCATTTACAGAAGCTGCCTCGCTTCCTACAGGCCCCTCAGATGCTTAGCAAGGCCTGCGATTTGCATCCCTGCATCCCCTGGTTCTTTTGGGCATTCCTGACCAATTTGGAAAATCTAATTAAAACATGGGCAGTGCCATTTTAAACGAGAAGGGGAGAACCTGTGTCTTTTCCCCTCCCTGCAGACAGACACCCCTAATTCTGTGTGGGTGCACTTGGGCAGTTTCAAGTAAGCCAGGCAGGCAATTAGCAGTTATTTCTGTGTTTGCAGAAGTTTCAGTGGCCTTGGGAACGTGCAGCTGGGCACGGCTCAGAGCGCTGCCAGCCCAGCCCCGGCTGCACCATAATTACCCTGAACAGGAACACGAGCTGTGGGATTCCTCCCCAGCTTATCCTCCTGGTGAATCTGGCTTCAGTCTCCCAAACCTGGCACAGGGACAGCTGGAGGTGCCGCTGTGTGTGACAGACCTTTTCCATCCCAACGCTCCATGTTTATCTCACGTTGAGTCTCGTCTGGATTATCTGCAGTAGAATTTAAGGCGTAAATCCCGTCCTTTCACTTCTCTCAGTTGCACTTTGGTGTCCTCAAGGGGTGCAGCCCTGAATAACACTGAGTTATTCATGACTGCCTGCAGCCTCCCAGCCGGTTCAGCTCAGCTGTACCAGCACCAGAGTGGCTCAGAGCCTCACAGGACTGAGCTCCCAAACCAGGGTGAGGGCAAAGGGCCTTTTGCCTATTCCAGGAGAACCCTGGCACAGGTCAGACTGCCCAGGAAACCTTCAGAGCCGGAGTTAGTTTGCAGCCAAGGTCTCTGAGTTTTGTCGGAGGAAAGTGTGGTAGAGCTGATATCTCAGTGTTCCACACACTGGGGGTTTGTTTAGCCTGTGCAGAGACACCTGAGCTGGCCTGAGCTGGCTGCTGGACACACTTACCTGCAATCCAGAGAGCAGGTGTTGAGCAGAGAGCAGTGGGAGCGTGTGGAGCTCTGGGTGGGCTGTGGAGCTTCACTGTGATTGTGCAGTTACCTGGTGTAGCTTTTCCTTACTGCTGTGCCCAATGCGTTATTCCAAGAGGAAATTGTATCCAACCTGTTCATGGGGAGGTGTGCGTGTCCAGCCACGTAGCCTTTTTCCAGTATTTGGCTAATCTTGCACCTTAGTCCCACCTTCTCCTTCTGATGGAGGTGTTTCTGCAATGCTCAGAGGGTCTGATTCAGGATGGCTTCCTGACATCGCTCAGGAATTTTGCTGTCAGGAAATGCTCTGTGATTTTGCTGTCAGATGGGTACCAGGCAGTGCTGAGCCCAGAGGTGCAGCTGGTGCAGGGGACCCATCCCAGTCCATACCCCCTTTTCCCACCTCAGAAGCCCCCCTGCTTCTGCCCATCACTGCTAATGCAGTTTGTATCTCCCTTGGCATGCCAAATCCTCAGCTCGTGAGATCCATCTGTGCACACACTAAAGGAAGGCTAATAATTAGATGATACTTCAGCAGACAGCACCTCCACAGCCTGGCATGATCTTTTAGCTATGGCTGATGCAAAGACACCAGTCAGAATTTTGGCTGGATCTTTGAACAGCAGAGACTGGATGTTGGCATGCCTTGGCTTTTGGCTTCCATCCTTGCTCTTCCAGGATCTGCAGTGATTATTTTTTCATTCATGAAAAACAAAGGAAGAGTGACAGACACACAGCTGAATTTAGAATTTGTTCATGTAAGAGGCCTTTTTACACGTTTATTTTTTAGCTACAGTTTCAGGGAGAAACCTGATCTATGCTGAGGTCAGAAAGAGTTCTGTTATCCAGACATATCCCTGCCTCCCCCATCCTGACTCAGTGCTTTGTTTTATGGGAAATACTATATGGCACAACATAAGTACTCTTCAGATAGTTTTAATATTTCCTCTGCTGAAGTCTCAGACAAACCCTTGTAATATGAGAGACAAGAGGGCATCCAAAAATACTCCAGTGTGCATTCGGCAGCCAAACTCTCCACAGAGGGATTTTTACTCCACTTTTAAGGCACCTAAGGGTTTGAAACACCCACAAGATGTTTGGTTCTCCTGGTTTTAAAGCAGATCTCCATGTCATAGCTCCCCAGGCGGGCGGGGGGGTTTGGGTGTGCGCCGCTACTCGTGGCATTACGGTGGAGGGGCGGGGCGAAGGCGGGGCCTCAGACGTGGCGGCGGCTCAATAGGGGCGGGGCCAGCAGGGGGCGGGGCCCGAGCGGCGGCGCGGCTGGAACGGCCCGGGCGGTTCTAGAAACGGGGAGCGGAGAGGGCGGCACGGAGCGGGACGGGGTGAGCGACCGGGACCGGGGGAGCGACCGGGACAGGGCTGAGCCGGGCCGGGGCTGGGCCGGTCCCGCGCTGAGGGGCTGTGCCCGGTGCCGCAGCCCCCGGCACTCGCGGCGGTCCCGGGAGCGCTGAGCCCTAAGCCGGGCTCTGCGCTGGCTCAGCGCGTCCAGCCTCGCTCTGCTGAGTTTAAACGCTCGTCCGGCCCCGGGCAGCGCCCGCGCCGCTGCCGGGGCTCGGCGGGTCCGGCCCCGCTCGGGGGTCCGGGGCGGGTCCGGTGCCGCCCCCGGGCCGGGCGCTGCGGGACAAGGGGGGAGCGTGGCATCGCGAAACATCCCTTGGGGGTTTGTGAGCGTGTCAGAGGTGTCGCGGTTACAGGTACCGTGCGAGGGCTGGCTCCTCTTTTCCTGCCCTCCGGGCTCGGTGGGACTGGTGTTCCCGCTTGGATGTGCCAGCTGCGTTAATTGTTAATTGTCCGTGCGCGATCCCTGCCGGCCGTGGGCTCAGCGCAGAGCCAGCGATGCTTCGTGAAGGTGTTGGAACCTCACTTGCTCCGCTCGCGTCTCGTGTTGCGTTACCCAAAAAGCCCGTCCGTGTGCCGGTCGGAGCACACAGCCGTGCAGCTGGGCTGGGGACAAGCCAGCGGAGCGCAGCAGCCGGGGGTGACCCGGCGGGGCAGCGGCCACAGCCCCAGAGGAGAAGGTTCTGCGAGGGCAGCGCACGGGACTGGGCTGGAGCGAAAGCTGAAGGCACTTGAGTGTTATCGCAGCTCAGCTGGGGCACAGCGGCTTGTTATGTCATAGTAATGCAAAACATGCCTTTGACCAGACAGGAATGATTTTATTTCAAGCAGCAAAGAATGTCCTTGTAACCTGGAAGCAGGGAGGATGTGTAAATAAAGACTATTTTTGGAGCTGTCTGACTTTGTGATGTTTGGTGTTCCTAGCCGGTAATCACCCCTCTTCCTCAGTAGTAAATCCTGAAGGTGAGCTTCCCCAGAAGACGTTTTTGTAACAAAACCTTTTGCTCTTTAATTTTATAGGTGCTCTGTGAGGGTGGAGCTGAGCTGAGCGGCCACTGCAGCCATCTTTACCAGAGTAATACTTCATCTTTCTGGCATTAAGGACTTGGAAATAATCCCACAGGTATGTTGTGAGTGTATATATATATATAGCAACCAATAGCTGCCACTCACATTTCACAAGCAGAGCATTATTCTGCAGTTGTAAATTGGCATTGCTCTGACACAAACAGACGAGAATGTGGCTTCTTGCTAATGCCATAATTTCTTGAGATTCAATTTTTTAATGTGATTAATCATACTTTGGGAAGCAGTGCAGGAATTGTGTACTTCAAAGACAGTGACAGCAGAGGGAGCAGGATTTACCACTTAGCATAAGAAGTTTTTCAGTCGAGGTTTAAGTCAGGAATTCAATCTGTTTATAATTTCCATGTTGTGCACATTGGCAAACCTCCAAAGAAGCAAGCTGTAAACATAGATATTTTTCCTATGACTAGTTCTGATTTTTGTGTATGGTTTTCTATATGTCAGAGGCATGGTAACGTGGAGTATGGAAAGTGGGCACGTTCTAGGGTGATGTTAGAGCAGAGACAACCCCTGCACCTCTGAGATAATGTCTGATTTTAATTAAATTGCTGATATTAAATGGAAGAAACAGTTCACTGACAGTAGACCTTTTAATATTAAAAAACCTCCACCCTTATTTCTGAACAGGAGGATATTTTCTGTGCTATATGGGAGCAAATGGCAGGGTATATTAAGTATGATGATATATCAAAGTTATGGGCTTTGCACAGTAAAATGCAGTCTAAATGCTAATGCTGAAAAAACAAGCTGTAGGGGAAAAAGAGCCTGGAGTCTTGCTGTCTTCACAAACAGTGTGGGATCTGACTCCAGGCTGCTTCACATGGGCAGAGCTTGCAGAGTAAGTTGAAGGCAGATTTGCTGTGCTTTAGACTGTTGTCTACTGGAGTGTGGAAGAAACATTCTTTGCTGTGGCTTTAAAAAACTGTGGGGAGCTAATCAAGATGATTATGGCTTCTAAGGTAGCTGTAATTTATTTTGTATTAGAAGAAATGCCTGCAGTTGTGTGTGAATGTGCTGTATCCTCATTAATGCTTGCAAAGGAGCAGCTTCTTCCTCACTTTCTTTTGGCTTGCCATGAAAAACACAAGGCAATTGCAGTGAGTTATTTGCTAGGCAATTATAATTGTTTTCAGATGCACATTAAATCCTTTGTAAAGAAAGGTGGTGATGTTGGCACAAGCTGCTCTGAGCAGTAAAGCCAACATGCACTGGGGGAAGGAGCTGGGAAGCAGTTACTTAAGGATGGAGAGAGAACTCACCTGTGAGGAGGCTCCCAGTGCTGCAGGGGAGCAGTCCCTGCTGTCCCTGGGTAGGACTGAGGGTGAGTGTGAGGTGACTCCTGACACGAGGTCCAGAATAACAGCATGGTCTTGGTGGGGCTCTGACAGGTGTTTAAATCAAGAGTTTTTTGGCTCAGAGGAGGGGTTGAACGTTGGAGCATCTGAGTGCATGTGGATAATGAATTTCAGGTCTGAATTACTTGTTTCAGAGTCTTCAGGCAATGGTGTAGGTTTTTTCCTTAGGATGAAATTAATCTTTCCTTAACATTTAATAATTTCTAAGTAGTTTTATAGCTGCTATCATGTGTCAGGCTAATCTGCAAGACTTGAAATACTGCTACAAGCTGGATGGTTTTCTTGATTGGTACTGAGAGAAGCTCTTCCATGGCAACAACTTGAAAATCTGTTTGCAATTAAGCCCTTCTTTTGGCTCTAAGTAAGCAGTCTTGCAGTTTTTTGTTTGTGCCATTTTCCACTTAAATCTAATTAGCCTTATCTGCAGCTGACAATGCTGATAGCAGGTTATTGCCTCCTTTTGGAGCTCCACTGTTTGTGCAGGGGATGAAGCCATCTGCACCACTACCCCTTGCTGTGTCTGCAAGCAATAAGACAGGGTGGAAAGCACTGGCATTTGGAGAAGCCCCAGACAGACCTGTCTCATCCAAGAGTCTGACCTCAAATTGCTGTCTGAGGATGGACCATCCTTCAGAGCCTGGCGTGTGGGCCCTGACTGTGTGTGCACCAAGAATTCATCTGTGGCCTGAGGTCACCTTGAAGTAGTGATTTTCTTGTTGGACTTCACCATGATATTTTAAATTTAGATGCCTGTGTTAGCAGCTGTTTTAGGAGTGCTTTTCCAGGTGTCTCTAATAGCACAGGCAAGCACAGAGGAGGAGACAGGGCTGTAACCTTTTGTCATCAGCTTGTACATTGTATTCTGGTAGTTTGGAAAAATGGTATCTTAATCAGATTTTGACAGTAGCTAGTTGTGATACTTTGTCTCACAAACTTTATGCCTTTGTAGCAACCTGTGGGTCTGTAAGAATGGAACCACACTAGGGAACAGTGGTCTGCCTTAATTTCTTGGAAGAAACCATTGCTGTATGCTCTGTAAAAAATTCCTCCCCCACCTAGCCCCTGGAAAGAGAGGTGACTTTGCTGGTAGCAGTTTGGAGCAGCTACATCCCAGCCCAGATCCACAGCTTCCTGAGAGAAGCCCCATAGCAAAGGGAGTGCTGTCACCTCTAAGTGTGGAGTGGAAGAACATTGTGGGGTTTGTCCTGGAATTCATGTGAGAAAATGAGTGTTCACATAAGAGCACGAGTCACACTCTGGCCTGATTTACCACAATAAAGAGCATAACTTTTATTCTTTACATTACCCAGACTGGTCTTATGTTGGTTCCACTTAATTTAATTCTTCTGCCTGAGAGGGGTGTGCAATTTTGAAGCCTGGATGAAGGACTTGCTTTTTTAGTCCCTGTTCTTACTTAGACTGTCAGGCAACTGGAGGACTCTTGTTCTGTGGTGAACAAAGGAGACTGCAGCATATCAGTTCGATCAGAAGTTGAGTCCTAAAGGCACTGGATGAGTAATAGGTATTTGTTTCCCCTTCTGACCTGAAAAAAAGTCCTCCCTCCTGGCTCTGGGAGTTGGCTTGAGTCTCCAGTGACTGGATATTGGATTCTGAGTGGGTGAGGAACTGATAACCCTGGTGGATGTGCAAGCAACTTTTCTTTTATGGGTCAAGTGTGTATTTTTATATCATGTTGATTAAGAGCTTTCAGAAAGCTTATTTAATAAAGAATTCAGTCTAACTTGTGAAGAAAAATTCCAGCCTGGACTATTTTGTCTAGAAGGACCTTCTTTCCTGCTGCCAGTGCTCTCTGAAGCCTGACAGCACTCTTTCCAGTGGGAGCAATGATTCATTAGGGTACTACACTGTAAAGAAGTAAAAAAAAAAAAAGCCAAGAACATAGGCAGTATTTGGTTTACACAGGCTTATTATCTGGCATTTCTGTTTCAATAAAACAGACTGGCTTTGTAAATATTTGTCTCCATTATTGAGGCAGGAGCTGCTAGTGCCCCTTCTGCCCCTCTTGCCCTCTTTGTTAGCAGATGGTTCAGCTGGGGTGGGGTGGGCAGGCATACGTGTGTCTGTGCACACATACTCCTCCTGTCCAAGACTGTGGTTATTCAGCCTCCTGTAATTCATTATTTGTGCTGGTTTTCCCAGTAACAGCTGTGAAAAGAATGTGTACAAACAATCTGCAAACCCTGCAGCCAGGTGTCCTGCTTGTTCAGCAAGAGCTGCTTTCTCTGTTTACTGAAGTTTCTGTTTATTGACTCAAGTAAAACTGAGTAGGATGGTAAAGCTGTTAAAGATCTGCTATAAAGACAAGCTGCTAGCTGTAGTAAGTGTACTTCTTGGCAGATATCCTCAGCCATGAGAGAACATGGTGGGGAGGTGCAGCAGAATGTAGAGTTGTGTTGTTTTAACTGGAAAATTCCCTTGTAATTGTTCTCCCAGGCTTTCTGTTGTGCATCCAAAAAACCACTCCATTAAATGATGACAGGCTATGCAGATGGACAGACGAGGCTTAATATATCCAAATTAATGTACTTCCCAAGTGTTCTTGACTTGCTGGGCTTTCTGCTACATCACTTATTGTGGCTTGTAGTATTGGCAGACCTCTGCATGGTACTATTCACTCAGCTTTGCTCAATTCTCAGATTACCCATGTACTAGTTCTGAACTGACTTGAACAAGCAGTTTGGGAATATGTGGTTTGCAGGAGGGTGAGAAACAGAAGAGAGAAAGGAGAAGACTTATTGTGATGCTGTGAGACATTTTCCTGCTTACTCATGCTTGCAAACTGTTGTGGTGAATGTTTCTAATTGCTTGTGTAGTCTTGTAAAGCAATCGGAAGAATAATTTTAAAACAATCATCTTGCCATGTGGTAATACCCAGCAGAGGACAGAGCTATTTCTGGTGTTCTCAGTGATGGTGGTGTCACTGGTGTGTTTGGTGTTTGTGTCCCTGGCACTCATGAGCTCATCTGAGGGTTTCTGTTGTGCTGTGGGCTTGAAAATCCCGGGAGGAAAGGGCAGTATCCACTTTTCATCTTCTGCCTCCTGCCATGCAGGCAGATGTGTGGAGCCCAAGGGAATAACAAGCTAGAGCTTTTCCAGAATTATCTTATTTTAATGTCTTCCTACTTGCTGCATTGTTTGAAATTTTAGGATATTCCATGTATTTTCTCTTCTCCCCTCCATTCCTCTTTCTCCTCAGATTAAGTGGTTCCATTTTGCCCCAAATAGCTGCATTTTTGCTGTATTTGGTTGCAGGTTGCAAGTGATCATTTCCAGCCACCAGTGTACCCAGTTACATGGGGTAGGAAAAAGGAATAACTGGTTTTTGAATCAAGGTGAGGAGCTGCCACCCTCCCTCTGCCACTGTGCAGGGTGTTCCTGAGCTCAGTGTTTGAGCAGCTGTGCTCCTGCTCGGGGCTGGCTGTGGTGGCTGGTCCTGCTGGGTGAACAGGCAGCTCCAGAGTGAGCTGTGGGCTGATCCAAGTGCATCCAAGCACCTCATAAATTCACTGGAAATGGTGATCCTGGCCATCAGATCTCCCAAGAGGATTGCAGCTCGCAGAAGGCTCTTCTGTACACACCTTGCATCCCTTCCTTCACCTGACCCTGTCTGCTGGGGCTGCCTTTCCCTTCCATGCTCCCTCAGGCTGTGCTTTTGGAAGCACAACAATCTGCTTTTAGCCTCCATCTCTGGGGGCTGAGTTTCTAAACTGGCACAGCCTTTGAAATACAGAAGTCATAAGGCCTGTGCCCAGAGGCCAATATGCTGAGATGATGCATCTTGAATAAGCAGAGCTGGAAATTTCACTTTTAACTTTTCCAACCGTTGCTGCCTCTTCCACGCTACAAAATGCTCTATTTGGCTTTCTCACTATTTGTGTTTCTAGACAGGTCTTATATAACTGAATTTTATAGCATACTGTAAGTCTGACCATTTAATTTAGACTTATTATTATTGGAATATAATACAATTTTGTGAGTCTCATATTTTCCAGCTCTAGTTATGCGTGACATGGAAGGCACTGAGCTGCTCTTGCAAAAGAGCTTGTTCTCACTGTCTCAGTGGACAATATATTGCTTCCTTTACTTCTCTCATGTGGGCTTTCCAGTGCCTTTCATGTAAATCCCAAAGAGTATACAAGATAGCATTTAAGACTGTTAACTAACAGCTTTTGTAGTTGAAGACTTTTTTTCAAGCTTTACTAATCAGAATTCAGTCTTTCAAAGACATAAATAATTTTCATGAGGATAAAATGACTGAAGGTAAAGATTAATGCCTTGGGTTGTTTCCTCACAAGTAAGTTAACTGATTTTACTCCTCCTTTTTCTTTCCATTTGTTGCAGGTTTGAGCTGTCTGGAAGATGAAGCCCTGGCTGCAGTTGGTGTTCTTCACCTGTGTTTTGTTCTGGCTCACAGAAGCAGAGTTCTTCACCTCCATAGGTATGAAGGAACCAGTGCCTGATGCTGTGCTGGAGTTAATGTGACTGCCAGAACTGTTCAAGTTTACAGCTGGAGCACATGGCTTTCTTCACATGGCCCTGTCAAACACTGTCTGTACTAGGAAATGCTGCTCTTCTGCAGTTAGTTTGCAGTTGGGTAATTTAGCACACTGTGACCAACAGGATACAAGTTTTTCTGGGGCCTCTGTCAATAAAATAAGGCAGGGCCTGTGTTCTATTAAGAATTGTGCATCTGTTGTTATCTTTAACACAGCACAACTTTTTATGCTAAAAAGCTTAGTCCTGAATTTGATTTATGAAAACAATTGAAATGATAAGTATGTGAAATATGTGTTTTCGGAGGACCTGAAGTCTCCCAAAAAGTTGGATTTGGGTGTCAGAAGTAAAAATTAATAACCTCCTTGCCTTGTGTGTTTTGTTAGGCCTGAGTAAATCCTGAAGAATTCACATTATTATAAATCCTAAAAACAAACTGATTTTTGTGACACTTTAGTTCCTGTATTCTAATAGATGTGATACAACCAAGTTTGATTGTGGCAGAGCCTCAAAATAAGCACAAACTGAGTTTTCTGCTGTAACTTGGCCCAATGTTTTCCCATGGAGCAGTGTGGGGACTTCCCCTCCATAAGGGCATTAGAGGCTGATTAACTACCACTGGCTGTTCTCCAGGATGTCCTTTGAGTCAGGGGAGCTGTGCTTCTGAATGGCAAAGCTCAGAACTCCTGGTGGGTTATTTTGCACCACTGTGGAACTGCTCAGCTGGAGCCAGCAGAGCTGTGTCCCACTGCCAACCTCCTCACGTGCTCTGGGCTTGGCTAAACAATATTGAACTACATGTCTATTGTTTGCTTCTCATTTTCCTGAGTTAAGCAGATTTTTATGTAAAGTTTCCCCAAAGGATCACCTTTTTTTTTTTTACACTTACCTGTTTCTGGACCTTCCCTAACTCTGAAAATAGCACAGCCTGCTGCCTGCTATCTGCTTAACCATGCCTCATTAATAATGACTTTGGAATGCTGCGGCTGAAGCTGTGGCTGCATTTGCAAATCTCAGCCGGTCTTTCGGTTTGGGCTTTGAAAAGCCAAGTTTGTCATAGCAATTAGGACAGACATGTGAGCAATTCCCACTAATGCTGATCAGGAGAGAGTGTGTGTGTGTCATCTATGAACATTAATCTGAAATCCCTCTGTATGTAATGTTAGGTTGTGTTTCCACAGTTACCCAGACTGCAGAGCTGTAGATTTAAATGATGCCAGTGATTAGGTTAATAATTTATTAGTGTGACCTAATCTGTATCCATGTGTAGCACAGATGCTTTGGCAACTCTCTGGATCTTTTGTTGCTTCAACTCAATAGAATGTAAACCCTTTATTTTTATTGTCCTGCATACACTTGCAATGCTAAAAGTCAATGGGAGGGTCACAGCAAAGCTGCATGAGCCACTGAAGCTGGGACTTCAAAAGCCCCTGGAAGGATCTGAATGCCAGACTTGTATGTCTAATAGCTGTTGTGGTTTACAGGCATTGAAGTGCACACTCTTCATTTGTCTGTTCTTTGTGGTGGTTTTCATAGCCCTAGAGCATTTAAGGTTTGTCTTCTGCGCACTTGGAAATCATTACTTTTTTAGGTCTGATGAACATTTGCTCCTACTCTCTTTTTAGGTCAAATGACAGACCTGATTTATGCAGAGAAAGACTTGGTCCAGTCTCTAAAGGAATATATTCGAGCAGAGGAGAACAAGCTCTCTCAGATTAAAAGGTAGGGGAGGAGGTTTGTGTAATGAAGGGTGACAAAATGGCTCATCTGTGTTCAATCACACCCCACCTTTGTCACCACTCTCTGCTGTTGGTATTTCCTCAGCAGATGATCACAGTGAGACCAGAGGTACTAACTTAGTTTAATTTGTGTCCATAAACCTGCAAGGAGGGGTCCCTGCTTTAAATATCCTTTAGAATTTGCTTCTTTAGAAATGATGGTTTGCTGAGCCCTTCCTTCTTTGCCTGGTCCTTGTGCCATCACAGAACTCCTGTGGACAGGACACAAGTCACATCAGAGGAGTCTTGTCACGTGAGCTGAATGCCCCTGTGTGCCAGTGCTCTGTGCTACCTGTTGTTTTGTGCCATCAGCCCCCTTACAAGGGCAGAGTGTGCCAGGGGCATTGTGTGGTGGTGCATCCTGAATCCCTGGATTCCATCCCATCCTGGCTTTGCCCACAGACACCCCTCAGAGACAGTTCTCCTGCCTTTTTCTCTTCAGTTGTTGACCTGGCTGTGGCACATCTCAGTCATTGTCCTGATTGCTTGGATCACTTGAAAGGCTTTTGCTGACAGCTGCAATTTTCTGTGTCCATTAGGAAGACTGTTAGTGCTTATCTAGCCAAAAGCAATGTCTGCTAGGGTGTGACACTAGGATAGTCTAAATGAGGTCCAGGTTCAGAAGAGCCCAGTGCCTCTAAAAGGAGCCAAGCTTTCCAAAGAATTTTTGAACTCCAGGCTGGACATGTCAATCTGACCCTTTGGGAGTGTAGGGTGAGGATGGGGCTGTGGAGGAGTGAAATGATAGGAATTCTCATGACATATACCCGAAATGTTCCTTTCTTGAAAAGCTGCCCTTTGGAGGAGAAGCAGTCTCCTCCTTAAGTATTGATAATGACAATGTCTGTTCATTCTGTGTATAAACTGGTGCTTTTAAGACTCATTACAAGTGAGATGCATGCCTACTGTAGTAAGGTTTAAAGTGGTAATCAGGGAAATTATTTCCTTTTAAAAGAGACTATTGTAACTTAAAAAAAATCTGCTTTATACTTCTGAAGTTGAAAGGTTGAAAGCTGGTTTTGATAGCAAAAGCAGCAATAATTTGATCTAGGTGTGTAATTGGAATGACTTAAGGAAGATGTGCATTCATGAATTGTTCTCAGGCTGAGGTGCACACTTCTCATTCCAGTTGGGCTGAAAAAATGGATGCACTGACCAGCAAATCAACCTCTGATCCAGAAGGGTACCTGGCACACCCTGTCAATGCATACAAGCTCGTGAAGCGTTTGAACACTGACTGGCTGGAATTGGAAAACCTGGTTCTTCAGGATACAACACATGGTAAGGAGTTCCTGAGGAGCTACTGGGAGGGAGCCTTAGGACAGTTGTTTATCCCCTCGTGTTCTGGAAAACCACAAGCTCAGCTGTGGTTTAAATGCTATTGCCAAGTTTGTTTGAAGCAAACTAGTGTTTGTTTCTAATGGCCACTTGTGTGCTGGTCAGCCAGGAGAGGGAAAGCTGCCACTGGAACACTCAGGGAGGGCTCAAAGAAACTGTGACCTGCTTTATTTGGGGAAAAGGGAGAAAAGGATATGCTAAAATTGTCAGCTGTGGTGCCAACTGTTGGGTTATGTTCCTTTATATGTAAACTACTTCATCTGCTTTCCCTGTCTGTTCCTTCTCTTGTTGATCTTTGTTTAATCATGTTGATCAGTAGATAAGATTAAGATTCGAAATGAGTCCTATACTGAATTGGTGAATGAATTTGTATCGTTGAGAGTTGGCAGATGTTCATAGGCAGTCTGTTGATAACAGGATAATGTACAGTTGCTATCTGTAAACTTATCCTTCTAAATCAAGTGCTTCCAATACTAATCCTTTGTTTTGCATCATTTTGTCAGTGTCTGGCTGAATTTGCTTCCATAGCTTTTTTTTTTTTTAAAGGTTTATTTTTACTGGACTCCTTGACAGTGAGGTAGAGGTGGCAATGTTTTTCAGGCAGAACACTGCATGTTTTCCCTTTCTTCTCTGCATATGCTAAAGTTTAGGTACTTGGAAGTTTTTTCCAGCCAAGACTTTTATTGCCTTTTGGAATAGTCATCCTAGATGGAAATAAAATACTCAGTTCTTTTGAGTACTTCTGTCACTAATTCTTTCTCTAAAGGTTTCCTTTCATACTTTTTCTTGCTGCATGAGTGGAAATGGTTGGTTTGTTTTCCTTCAGGTGATGGCTCCCAGTCCTGCCCAGCCAGCCTGCTGTGTAACCTTGATATGTTATGTAGTGCATTTAATTTTATTTCTGAATAATTTTTTTTTTTTTTTTACAAGTTTTACTTGTCAGGTTTAACCCTCTCACTGGGTAAGGTCCTATCCTACTGAGGTGATCCTGGATCAGGGTCTCTGTCCCTTGAACTGAGATTTGAAAAGCTCTTATGGCTTTACAGGTTGGAGTAAAGTTGGAGATCCTTGACCAGTATTACAATCCACAGTTGTCTCTGTGGATATTGCAAGAGAACTGATGAAAACTATTTAAAGTTTTCATGCCAAAAAGAGACATTACAGGAAAATGAAGATGATTAGGTTCACGTTGTACTTCAGTAATTGTGTGACAAGAAAACTGAGGTGTTAAGTTATTTGTCCCTTATTTTTTCCTCATTAACCGTATTTCATAAAATGAGACAGAAAACAATGTGTTTATAACTTGTGAGCCTAATAAGGTTTTAAATCTGGATTATTTGAATCTCATTTCCCAAGCCAAAGCAGATGTTTCCTCTTCTGCATTAATCTAGCACTGATATTTATTCAAGCTCTGGAAGTAACGTCTTTCCCTTTTACTGCAAAGGCTTTATTGCAAATCTGACATTCCAACGCCAGTTTTTTCCGACTGAGGAGGATGAGACTGGAGCTGCGAAGGCTCTGATGCGTCTGCAGGACACCTATAAACTGGATCCTGAAACTCTGTCCCGAGGGAACTTACCAGGTAAGTGCACCAAGGTCTCCTCTGCTTGAACAGAAGTGGGAGCATCCTCAAGCTCTCTCCAAAAGCCCTTTGTGAAATAGGGATTAACAGTTTTTGCTACAGATGTTTTAGAAAGTGCAGAGACATAGTGGGATGTCTTGGTAGCTGAGACCTGAGAAGTGTTTGTTGCTGCTGCTTATGAGAGACTTACTGAAACAGGTTATGGTTACTGCCAACACTCTGGTTACAAACTGAACAGGCATTGGCAGAGTGAAAGTAGATGAACTGACTCAGTGGTTTTAGTTATTATATGTGGGGGCTTAATAATGAACTTAGTTTTAAGTCTTATCTGTGCATCTGCTGAGCTGGAGCAACTCAAGAGCAGTGCAGTTACAGTCAGATGTGTACCCAGTTTGTCTAAATAACCATCAGCTTGCTTATGCACAAATATAGATCTCCAGTAAAGAGAAACAAGCTGGCTCTGCCTGTAGTCAGGCTTCTCTGCCTTTGTCTACAATAGAAAACACGATAGCTGAAACTATAATTTCTGCTAAACTTCTCTTGGTTTCCAAAGGAATTAATTAAAATAGAATTAGGATAGAATTTTCTCTTTAATTCTGAAGGTGACCATTTTAATACTGAACCTACAATATTGTCAAAGAATTGCCTTTTGGAAGCATTTTTGGATGACAAAAATATGTACTTACAGATATTCATCAATGTATTTGAAGGCAAAAGTGCTTCTGTGTGGATTGCTCAGAACTGTCTTTTTGCTTTTAGGAGCAAAATATAGATCCACCTTGACAGTAGGTGACTGCTTTGGCATGGGGAAGACAGCCTACAACGACGGGGACTATTATCACACCGTGCTCTGGATGGAGCAGGCCCTGAAGCAGCACGACGAGGGGGAGGAAACTGCAGTCAGCAAAGTGGAGATCCTGGATTATCTCAGCTATGCTGTGTTCCAGTTTGGGGACCTGCACAGGGCCATGGAGCTCACCAGGCGCCTGATATCCCTGGGTAAGGACAAAAGGCACGTCTGTCTGTCTGCCTGGGGAGCTCTGCCAGCAGAGCTGAGGGCAGTGGTGGCCCCAGCACACTGTGAGCTGGCTGGGAGGAGCTCCTGACAGAGGACTTAAAATAAGTGTGGGTCCTGGAAAAAACCCGGTTATTTATACATGAAGTATCTTTAACAAACTGTCTGATGGTCCCTGGTGTTGTTACCCAGCGCCCCCAGTGTGTGACTGCAGGACCTGTGGGCTTTGCTGCAGGACCTGTGGGCTTTGCTGCAGTGTGCTGAGACACTGTGCTGGGCAATGGTTCAAGCCTTGCTTGTCTCAAGTGGAGACTGAGGCTGCCACAGACTTGGGCAGAGTGCTGCACCTTCTGTCAAGTCCTACTGACTTTACATACTCCTTTTTTTTCCTCAGTGCAGGTACTTTTCTATGCCAGAAGAATACTTTGCCTGAGATCTTAAAGTATTTATTTCTGAATATTCAGAACAGATTGAGTTTCTTAAAACCTGCTTTTATTTCTGGACTGTTTCTAACTTTCTCTTGAGTAAGCAAATAATCATTGCTTCCTATCCAGCTTTGCCTGCTTCCTGCATTGGAAAGGTCTGTCCTCCTCAATTAGAGTTAGCATTTACTGTGTTATGTATTTGTTGGGTTTTTAATGAGCTGTGGTTCTTAGTTTAGATGTTAGCAGCATCCTGAGTGTGGGTGAAACCTTCCTATTGAAAAACATGTATTGGTCTAATTTCTGCAGACATTAGGATTCTTAGATTAAAATTTATAAGACTGTGAATATATATTGAATCTAGCTCCCTCTGCAATGGGGTTTAGCACTGATAAATGCAAATCCTTATCAGCAGCAAATAGTGAAGCAGACTTGGCATTCTCCCCTGGGAGCAGCAGCTTCCTCTGCTCTGGGCTCAGCTTCCTTATCTGTGCTCTCATGAGTGGTGACTGCAGTGACCTTTGGGGTTGGTTCCACGAGATAAACACAATAAGCTTGGCAGGGCCAGAAGGGAAAGAACCTGTTCTAGGTGCCAGTGTCCAGAAACACTGGTGAACAGGTTCCTTCTTAGTTGTGCAGGGTAAAGATCTGTTGATGTTTGATTCACACCGACATCACTAATGAATCACTGATGATCTATCAAAGGTGCTGTGATCCAGGATACCTCCCCTATAAACCTGGGACAGCTGGGGATGGATGCTGTAGGTGGGCTGTAAGGTGGTAACACATACCTTGGAGCTTCCCAACATGGGGGAAGTCTTTGGAACTGGAGACTGGCTGAATTCCACCACAGTCTCTGGTTAAAGGGTGCTTGTGCTCAGTGTGGGTGAGCAGCATGGTGGAGAGCAGGGGTGCAGCAAGTGCTGGCCTGATCGTGCCTGATGAGCTCTGTGATCTGCTTATCTTGGGTAGAACTGGGCAGAAAAGTTGAGAGAAAATGAGGAATGTGAAGACCAGAAACTTCTACTATTTTTTTTTCTCAGAATACAAGTTTTGTGATGGGTTTTTCCAGAAAAGATTCTTTTGCACACTGCACCTCTCTTTCCTCTGTAAAGACAGAAACTTCCCAGTGCTGGTTTTCAGTGCAGACTGGAGCCTGATGATTGGTCTAGGAAGGGAAGAACTGTTGCTGTCTTGATTCAAAGGCTTGTGTGTACTAACAGCTCCTGAGATTGCCAAAGTCACTGGCTGTGTGTGCTTTTGTCCCCATGAAGACAGCACTCACGAGAGAGCAGGCAGCAACCTGAGGTACTTTGAGAAGCTGCTGGAGAAGGAAAGAGAGGAGAAGGAGAGAGAAAAGCCAGTAAACAGGACCAGGACAACGACAGAAGCTGTGGTGCAGAGTGGAGCCTATGAGAGGCCTCTTGACTACCTGCCAGAGCGGGACATCTACGAGGCCCTTTGCAGAGGGGAAGGGGTGAAAATGGTAAGAGAAAGACAAGAATTTCCTGACTGTGCTGCCTTGGCATAAGGGTGGTCAAGCTTGGTGTTGGACATGTTAAGTTTTTCCTTCTGTAAGGCTGCTTTTAGAAGAAGTTAAATGCAGTTCTGCCCAGGCTGAGGTTTGTGCCTTATGTCTTGGCTTCTCCACCTTTAGCTCTTAATCCTAGACACATAAACAGCTCTCAGCTGTACCTCTTAGAGGTTGTTGAAAACTGATTCTCCTCAGTCTGTCTACTCAGCCCTTTTAAAGCCAGCTGTACAGATATCCAAGGAGCCTTTTTCCCCTGAGAGCTGCTTATAATTTGCTTATGGAATCACATTATTCCTTCCCTTTTGCAACTTAAAGACATGTCCTGTGGTGACTATTTTGACCAATGAGTCCTCAGTACCTCTCAACAAACACGGCTTTAATTCTTAGTGCAGGAAAAAGAATCAATTTATTCCATCTGCATAATCTTAATTATAAAAACCAGGCTTTTTTACAGCTGGTTGCTTGTGTAGTTCTTTGCTTAATCTGTAACCTATTGTGATTTAATTCCCCTAAAGATCAGTGTTTCAGATGTTCCTCAGTGGCACCTTGAGTGGAATACCTTGTTTTTTATTAGCAGTAAATTGCAGAATCACTCCTGCTTACCTCTCATATCTGCTGGCCAGCTGATGGTTTTTACAGTGTTTGTGGAATGTCTTTTCTTGTCTTAAGTGTTTTCAGTTCATGAAGTGTTTGAGCAAACAATGCTTTGTTTGGCATTTTGTTTCAGACACCTCGAAGACAAAAAAGGCTGTTTTGTAGGTACCACGATGGAAACAGAAACCCCCACCTGCTCATAGCTCCCTTTAAGGAGGAGGATGAATGGGACAGCCCTCATATTGTACGATACTATGATGTCATGTCTGATGAAGAAATCGAGAAAATTAAACAACTAGCTAAGCCAAGGGTAAGTTTCCCTTTTTCCATCTCACTAATGACTGCTAATTCCATGCTTTAATCTCCGTTAGCAAAGACTAGGCAAAGGATTTGAAAGATCTGGTTTCATACCACAGATGATACACTGCAGCTGTGAGCCTAAGGGGAACCATTTGGAAACTGCCTGGTGATGTAGGACCATAAAGCCCAGGCTCCCGAAGGTATTTATGCATTGTTGCACTTAATTATGCAAAGCTCTCAGTAAATGGCTTAGAAAGCTTTTAAGCAATTAACCTGAAAAGACCTGAAAAGGGAGATGGTGAGTGACTGACAGCGATAGCAGTCGGTGTGCAGTATGCCTGAAGTCTGCCTTTTGAAATGGAGCCAGACTTAAACGACATTTAAAAAGCCCAAATCTCAACAGAAGTAGGAAAGAAAAATAGGGATTTTTTTTTTTTTAAATTGTGCTAGGAAAATATCTAGAGCCTTGTTTGTTTTGCTTAGAGGGTCCTGGAATCCACTGCTTCTGTTTTAAGCCATAGGTGTTACCTGTTAGGCATGATGTGAGTTCTGGTGACCCTGCACACAATAAAAAAGCAGCTACCTAATGCAAAGGTAGTGATTATCTCACTGATTTTTCTGGAAATGGAATTTCCTCCCTGTCACCCGTCTGGCAAGAGAGGTTTGACAGTGTGACAGTAGTAATAGATGCTACACCTGGGCTTTTCTGTCAGGTCTCAGAAGCAGTAAAACTGAACACCTCATGGCTCATAGATGAGGGGTTCATTTTAGCCCTCTTTGGGCTACTGCTCTGAAATATGGCACTAAAATTCCCATGGAGAATTACCCTTCTGTATGTATTTCTAAATGCAAGCATAAATAGTTAGAAACAGATTGAGAAACTGAGGCTTCCCAAGAACATGAATAATTTGGGATGTTTGTGAAGCTGCACTTGTATGACTACCAGCCAGCTATGGGAGTGTTGGCAGAACACTCCTGTCCCAGGGAGGACTCTCACCTCCATAAATGGAGACTTTTTCCTATTACATCATACTATAAAACTTCAAGAGCTTCAGATAAAATGGAAGCATTCACATAGAGCATGTCACTTAATCTATTTTATCAAATAAAGAGCTTTCTAAAGGCAGCTTTTTTTTTTTCCCTTTTTATTCAAAGTTTTATGGAAAGTCTTAAGTCTTGCTCACTGAGTTCTGCTTGTACTACTAATGTCAGAGGACTTTTTCATTTAATCTATGTAGTGTAGGACTGGGATCAGTCCCTATAAGAGTAGGTAAATATTATGGTCTTAAGAGTCAGATGAAACTTTTTGATTTTAAAAAAAAAAGCAACCATTTTGAGGGTGGGTTTGTGGTTTGTTTTTTTTTTTTTTAATCTGTCTATATCTCAGCTGCAGGAATAGCTTTAAATTCTGTAGTACTACTGAAAGAATGGAAAATGCAAGTCGAGATGGTCCTTAATAAATACAGCTTAATTTTAGCCAGGAGATTTTAGTTAGTAATTATGGGAGCTTTCAGATAGAAGTCTGAAGTGGTATTTTAGTTTTAGGCTTAGAAAGATGAGCACTTTTCTTTATTCTAAAATACATTTTGCAAGAAATTTCTACTTTTGAGTCCAAGCACTTCAACATTATCTGCAGTTTACACTTGCCAATATTTTTTGTAGAGAAACAACATCTGTGTGTGATTGGGAGTAGCTGCAGTCAAGTGGGTTTGCATGCTTGCCTTGCAAAATGCAATCACTCTTACTCCTCTTCCAAAGAATAGTTCCAGCTTTTCAGGCAATCCATCAGAGCTGGCTGGGGAGGGTCAAGGGAATTCTTAACTCTGTTGATGCAGATAGCATTGGGACAAGTCTGCCATCAAAGTAGGAGAACCTTATTCCCAAAATTCGGAATGTTACCTGCAACCCAGGCATGTCTGTACAGGCCAAACCATGGCCTGGAGCTGGGGGGATGTGAAGATCTCTGAACTTGGTGCTGCAGGGTTCCAGCAGTGCACAATTTCAGAAGGAAAAGCCAAGGGAGTGCCTGCTAAACTAAACACAGACTCCCAGAGGAAAACTAGATGAGGCTTCTGGCCAATGTAGTGTGTTATGATGATTCCTCAAAGCCCAGCAAATGCCTGGTATAAGGCTGATTTCTCCACCCTGAGAGAGGAAGCCTCACATTTATCAGCTGATTACACCAACTGAGGTGTAGATTGTATGTCTGAAATGAAGAAGCCTGTCTATCAGAGCAGATAGGGAATAGTATCAATGTTAGTTCTGATTTATTTAGATCAAATGCTAGGTGCAGAAATCAAGCAAGTATATACAAGCTTGAAAATGGCAGCAGAATGAAAAGGTTGGGAAGCAAAAATTATATCCCCAAAGCTGTGCTTCAGTGTACAAGTGAAGAACAGCACTCAGTCAGCCTGGCTCGTCTGTTATGATTTATGCAGGAGAAATCTGGAACAAAATAGCAGTGAGTCAGAATTACAGCAACAGCTGTGCCAAGAACTCTTGTATAGGGACAAGACAGCTGACATGGATTGTAAAGCTGGCTGGAGACTTATTGGAGGGAAAAATGAGGGAAATAATGACTGCATGCTCCAGAGAAGATGGCTTTTCAAATAAAAAGGCTTTCTATGACCTGTAATTAAGTGGAAGGAAGGAGGCATGATTTAGAGTGTTTGTGGTTTGCAGGAGTTTAAATTTAAATGTGGTCTGAGCTTACAGTCAAAGAAAGGACTGTCCCAGTTCTTGTTCTCAGCTGCAAGTATGAAACCAAAGAGACCTGGTGTGTTGTTAGCAGTCACTGACACCACAGCAAACCTCATCAGTTTTGCCAAATTCCAAATTTCTCCTACAAATCTGGTGATATGGCCTAAACATGGTGATAAACTCACTGCTTAAAACTTACAGGTGAGCTGTGCTTTTTACAGAGTTATCTTCATCATGTAATAATACATATCAAACTGTCTCTGAACTAGATGTTCCAGGTGTCTTCCAGCTGGAAAATCTGAGCACGGGAATGCTGAGAGTTGCCCTCAGGAGTTTTCTACCGCTGTGGATTTGCCTACCCCATAATTTGTAACTCATTCTGTAAAAGTTTTCACTTGTTATTTTTCATTTGAGAATGAGGTAGGGTTATTTTAGTCCACATCAGGAGCGGGCTGATTAAATTTCTGGAGTATCCAGTGATTTTTCTCTATGCCAGGAACTTGGGCTTCATCTGTTCTTAGCTTTCGTTGTTGTTCCCTCTTGCTAATATTGACTCCAGCTGTTTAAAAAAGTGCCTCCAAAACGTGTTCAGCAAGGAACTCATGGATTCAATGAATATCATGGCTTGTGCACTCAAATCAGACTATTTTCCCAGGATCAAATGCAGGTGCTGGATTGTACTTGTGTTTCTGCATGTATTGTTTGAGCGTGAAATCAGAACAAACTCTAGGTTGGAGCTCTAACTTTCATCCAGTGGTATATATTGAAGTTGGACAAACCAGGTTTTGATTTTTGGTTAAGATGAGATAAAAAAAAAATTTCTATCCTGTAGTTGATGTGTTTCTTCCCCCTTGGGATTTTTTTTGACACAGCTGGCACGAGCCACAGTACGTGATCCCAAAACCGGTGTCCTTACAGTGGCTAGCTACAGGGTGTCAAAGAGGTAAGAGAGAAGAGTTGAGCTCTAAGGTTTTTGTGCTTAACAGCCGTTGCCTGCTTCCTACCTACAGCTGAAAACTTGAACTGCTTTGCATGTAACCAAAGCTTCCCCAACAAATGCATGGAAAATGGCTCTTTCAGCCGTCTAACTGAGGGCAGAAGAATCCTTCTGCCTTAGGAAGCACGTTCTTGTGGTTGGTATTCCAAAATAACGTGTTTCTATCCTTCCCTTGTGCCAGCTCATGGTTGGAGGAAGATGATGATCCTGTTGTGGCCAAGGTGAACCAACGAATGCAGCAGATCACAGGGCTGACAGTGAAAACAGCCGAGCTCTTGCAGGTCAGTGCACTGGCTTCATCCTGGTGGAATTAGCTGGTGGTCTGGTGCAGGTGGATGTTTGCCCTGAGTGTGCTTGGCAGAGAAGGGTGGAGATATCAAAGAAATGGAAGATGACTTTGTGCAGGAATCTGTGATTTATCAGTTTGTTTTGAGAAAAATGCCTGCTGCTTGTTTTCAAGTCTGCGAAAGCTGAACCTCCTTCCTATTTGAACTTTTCAAAGACCCAAATACTTTTCATAGTCCTGCTGTAGTCTCATATGAGTTCTGACCACTGGCTGTTGGGGAGAGGAAGGAGAGTAGCAGTGGTGCAGCACTGCCAGAGTAGCTGTACCTGCCCTGTTTGCTGCTTCTCTTCCTCCATACTCCTTGAGTTCCTGTTTCAGAGCCTGATTAAAGTGCTTTATTACAGAATATCCACAGAAACCTGGCAATGGTGTAAGGATCTGGGAGACATGTTAAATGCAGCCTCAGAGTAGCTCAATCATATGTTATGTGGTGGTCAGGTGTAAAGTAAGCAAAGGGGTGCTTTTAAGCTACTTTGAGCCTTCTGTGGTCCTGGAGGGGCATGTGGATGTAACAAATCACACAACAAATCTGTCTCCTAAGCTGGACACAGAGAATTGATCCCACTCAGCTGCCTTCTCTTCAGAGAGAAGCAAGTGTGTGGTAAAGCTACTGCTGCTAATTCACATGAAACAGGCTGTTTTAGTGATAAGTAGAAACCCTTGAACTATGAAAGGGAAAAAGCACTTCAGTCGTTTCTCATCTGTGTACCTCCCTCCTGGCAATCTAAAAAGAAATGAAGTGTGCTATAGATAACAATCTTGCCACAGAGTGCTGTTTCTCAGAGCATGTTTTGGATTTCTGAGAGCAAATGCTGTTCAGCAGCAGCAGCCACTTGCAGTTCAGTGGATGTTTGTGCTTCCTTCCATGCTGTAGGTTGCCAACTACGGAATGGGAGGGCAGTATGAGCCACACTTTGATTTTTCTAGGGTAAGATCACACTTGCAATTATTTCTTGGAAGGATGGGGAGGGGGGAGTGGTTTGGTTTGAAAGAACACTGTTGAAAATGTTTTTTGTTATAGCAGTTATCATGCAGGCCTGTTGCATGGATGGACTGTGACTTTTGGAAAGCCTTTGCACTGCCTTCTCTGATGCTGACAGTTCAAGAGAATAACGAACAGATCTTCCTGCATATCTCTGTGACCTCGATTCCTTGCACAGTATAGACAGTAAAAGAGTCATGTAGCACTTGAGTGTGCTCTTTCCATTGCTTCATTTGTAAACTGGGGTCTGCAAGCCCTGAGTTGTGAGTTTGCCTTGTTCCATTAGGCTTTTGAGTTCAACAAGGTTGTTCAAATCCTGTTTTGCTGGATGTTTTAAAGCATTTTGCAGGAGGTGGCCGAGGAGGAGAGATCCTCCACCTTCCCTCCAAAAAAAGCCATTATGGAAGTCCTCACAGGTCATACAGCCCTTCTGGCAAAAGCCTTATTGTGGCTGCAGCTCTGGGCTCTCAAGAGGGTATTATGATGTTAGTTTTTAGCATTTGGACAGTGTCCTGTTCAGGCTGGACACTAAGAAGAATTTCTTCAGCAAGGGTGATTAACATTGGAATGGGCTGCAAGGGAGGTGGTGGGGTTACTGTCCCTGGAGGTGTTTTAGGGAAAGGCTGGACTGGCACTGAGTGCCCTGGTCTGGTTGACAAGGTGCTGTTTGGTCACAGGTTGGACTTGAAGATCTCAGAGGCCTTTTCCAGCCTCACTGATGTGGGGTTGGTGTTAAGGAGGACAGTGCTCCAGGGAGCAGGGGAATGTGCTGGTGGTGGGTGCTGGATCCACACCAGGCACTAGAGGGCTCTGCCTGGCAGAGAACAGCTCTGGTTTGCTCCAGGCTGGGAGAAAAGAAGAGCAAATTCTTAATAATTACCCTGAGCCACTTCATGAACCTGCTAATCACACTGAAGAGCTGTAGTGACTGGTAGTTTCAAATATAAAACCCATCTGATGTCTTGCTTTCTGTGGTACTTCAGTGGAATCTGGCTTAATTCAGACTGTCAGGGTGGTTTTACCTGGTAGAAGGGATTGCTGCAGCCAGAGCACACAACCCAACAGCTGAGTGCAGAATTGAAGCCACCCAACTTAGCACTGTTTAAAAAATAAAATAAAAAAATCCTGAGTTTCAACACCATGGAAGCTCATACTTGTTAGCTTTGGCCCGCTGAGACAATTTTCCTGTTAGCTTTGACTGCTTCGTTTCCTGAGTCGAGCAAATGCTCTCAAATTCTCTTCAAAGCCTTTGAACTCAAAGGACCTCAGGCATCAAACTGGCCAGTGTGGGCTTTGCTGTTGGAAGAGGCAGCTGGGGCAGAGCTCCACTTGGAACATGCCCTTGGCTGCAGGGTCAGCCGGGGCCGGGCGGTCGCAGAGGTTGCTGCAGTTCTGGGCTGGTCCTGCAGGCTCTCTGTGCACCACAGATTTTCTGTGATCAGCCTTGCAGCTTTTTGTTTCCTCTCAGTTCTCAAATAGGGGCACTTCAATAGTTGCATATTGCAACTTGGAGATTTTAGTAATTGTTCGAGTTAGACATTTATTTTTTTTTTTTTTTGCTCTTGAAGTTCAGAAATTCATGGGTTTCACATCAGTGGCAGTAACCAGGGAATCCCCTGTATCTCAGTGCTCCAGTGTTGGCTCTTTTGGGTTGAATTTGCACCTGCACAGTCCTGGGGATTTTGTGAACCCATTTCAGGAAAGGCCTCTTATTTCTTAAAATATATTTCAAGTAGATTGAACTATAACACCTTAGAGACAGTGGCTGTGGTTTTCCTTACTGTTTGTCTTTTTAAATACTGATTTATTCTTTAAATGTTAAATATTGTTTTTGTGTGTAAGAATGCACTTGAAGATCTCCTGACTGAAATGATTTCCTGACTATTAGCAATGTAAATAACCTTCAAACAAATGAAATGAAAAGTTAAGAGAGACACTGGTATTCTAGATTTTCTTTCTGCTTCTAAACTGGCACCAGTGAGATCTCCTACTTTGACAAATGAAACTCAATTTTTCTTACAGATTAAAGACAATTTGATCTTTTTGATGTGGTCTTTAGTTGTAGACAGGCAACCACCTGAAAGAAGTTCATTATTGCTACTCTACAGTTTTGTCTGCTGGCAAAAAAAAAAATGCATATTCTCCTCTCATGACAGTATTTCTTTGAGTTGCTGTGTCTATGAGAATCTGCTGTGTTATCTAGAGCCCAGTGAAGATTAGGTTTTTTTGTATTCACCTCAGCTGTTGACTTTGGATGAGTGCCCAGGACAACAATGGCCTGTTGTTAACCTTCCTTGGCTAACGTGTGTGCCACAGGCACTGCTTCTGCTCTGCCCTCAGAATGGCTTTGGTGCAGCTCCTCCGTGCATGCAGCTTGGGATGGCTTCCCTGTCGCCCCAGTGAACTGTCCCCTTTCTCTGCCAGCTCTTTAAACTGGGCCTGAGGATCTCTGCAGAGCTCCTGTGGCTCTGGTGGGAGCCTGTGTGGAACTGGGGTTAAAGTTGTTGTCTGTTGCAGCGCCCCTTTGACAGCACACTCAAATCGGAAGGAAATAGGCTAGCGACGTTTCTTAACTATGTAAGTACCTCTGTCTGTCTGTCTGCTGTCTGAGAGCTCGAAATTTGCAGTTTGTTCTCATTTTATAGAAAGATGAGCCAGATGCTTTCAAGCGGTTAGGGACTGGAAATCGTGTGGCCACTTTTTTAAACTATGTAAGTATGATTGATGATCCTTTGTGCATTGAGCATAACCTGAGCAGCATCTTATTTACAGCTTGTGCAGTTGGTTATCTGTAGAGAAACCCCTGACATCTGGAAGTAGGGATTTCATTATTCTTCCAGCATCAGGTGCTGTCCCATCTGAACTGATAAAATTCTGGTGGTATTTAACCTCAGAGCAGAAAATTTGAATTCAGGACCCATCTTGCCCTTTTTGGCCACTCTGCTATGGAATCTTTTACTTACTTTGATTCCATGTGGGGAGAGGAGAATTTGGCTGATTTTCCAGAGGCAAATGTAGGGGGTACTCATGTGGTGTGATGTTGGAGAACTTGACTATCAGCCATGTAATGAGACAGTCATGTTCTGCCACCACTGTTGGACAGCACTTGATGATGTGGTGTGTCAGCCTCCTCCTCAGCTGTGTGCCAAAGCCAGAGGTGCTCTGGCATAGCTGCTGCTTCAACAAATGCAGGAGGCAGAGCTGATAAACTTGGTGCCCCTGGGTTTGCAACTGCAAAGTTGGAAGATCCATTAGTTGCATGCATTATACAGCCCACAGACCATGTACACTGGAATCCTAAACATCACTGCCACCACGGCCTCAGGCTTTCACAGCAGTCCCCTGACAATATTTTATCTGTAAACATATACTCACTGTATCATTAGGATCACCTAATCATCTATGTTTAACTTCTAAGTGATACAACCTCAAAATTTTGTGATGAAAAACGTGTGGCTGAGCTGGTATTTTGAGTGTGAAATACTGCTCAAAACAGAATCAGAAATACTTTTAATTTGATTTGTTGGGGGGAGGAAATAATCTCTGAAACAAAAATTGGAGTAAAATAGGTAGCTGTGAAATAGTCTGCTGCAAAGAGGTTTTCATTTTAAGGTTAACTCAACCTGTATTTTGTTTGCTTCTCAGAATTTTGGACAAGCCTTGATTTAGAGGGAATTACACACCCCTTATTCTCTGCCAGCTGTACATGGTCAAAGGCACTTTGCCCTCATTTCTCCTATGTAGAACATATCACACATGTGCCAACAGCCTTACTAAAAACAGTGGTTGTGTTGCTAAGACACAGGTATTAACTTGCAAAGTTGCATGCACAGGCTTTCTAGCTGGTAGGGGCAAACACCTGGTACCTGTGGCATCTTGTGCCCTTTTATTGTAGGTGCCAAGCAGGAGGACACCAGAGTGGTAATAACATCTGCTTTAAACAGAAATCCAAGTTGCAACAGAGAATATGGGGGCTTGGGGGGTGTATTAATAGTAGTTTCAAAGTTTAGTGGGAGCTGGATCCAACTCATTTATTTCTTTTAATCAGAATGTGACCCAAAACTTACTGAAATGGGTGGAAAGACTTTCTGTTTTTAATGGGAGTGTCCCCAGGAATTTCAGTGGGGTTTGGGTCAAGTCTAGAATTTAGAATGAATCCCTTGCTACTGATGGATTCAATAGGGTTAAATTCATGCCAGTGTAGATGGGCAAAGCATAAATGCTTGTCTTTAGAGTCCCATAGCTGTAGGTGTTAAAGCTTGAGCTGCATAAAGCTCTTGTAGTGGTATAACATTGCTGGTGAACAGCACAAAAATGGTGCAGAAAGTGAGGTTTTCTAATAGTTTGTATAGTTTTTGAAGTGGTTGACCAAGATGCATAAACTAAATCATGAAAATTATTTCCAAAGGCATGGTTTCAATTTATGAGGAAACATGTGGTTTAACAGACACTGGTTTTCCTAATTGGATCATAAACTGGAATGAAATTCTTGAAACACTTACTCTGTAGTCCTTTCTCTTGTTCTAGAGCATTAGCTCATTAACACTGCAGGTACCCAACTGCTAGTGGATAGTTGAAGTAAACACTATATAATCTAGACATAAATAACCTGGACAAAAGCCTTGAGCTGAAAGAAAATTCTTCAGCAACAGGTACTGCTACTTCTGCAGTTGGTGCTGGTTGAAGCACATCCTTTCTCTTCAGTGCCCCTTGTAGAGGTGCAAGTGGAAATCTCAGGCCTTGTGGCACTTTAGCTTATGGGACTGCACGGATATAAAACCTTTAAATGGACAGTTTGTGGGCTTTGTTTTCTCAGATGAGCGACGTAGAAGCTGGAGGAGCTACAGTTTTCCCAGATTTTGGGGCAGCAATATGGCCCAAGAAGGTAAAGCCTGTTTGTGTTTTGGTTGGTTTCTTCTCTCTCTAGTTACTGTCCCTGCCTCAGCACAGTCCATGTAAAAGTCAGCTGATGTGACAAAATGCTCTGCATTGCTGATCTTGCAGACTAAAAGGCATTTCCCTTTTTTTGTAATGTATAAAGTGAACAGTTTCTCTGTACAGCTGCTTTTAGCAAAATAAACCTGTGTTCAGGTAGAACTCCTCTGTACTCTGAACGTGGCTGAGTCAGAGTGGTGCTGAAGGTTCTCCATGAGCTGTCAGTGGTGATCTGTTCCAGTGCTTCCTAAGAGCCTGTAGCTGAATTCAGAGGCACCCCCTCTCCTTGGTGTGACCTGTAACTTACCCTGGCCCTGACTAATCCACATCTGATTTCACTTTACAGGGAACAGCAGTGTTTTGGTACAATCTCTTCAGAAGTGGTGAGGGGGATTATAGAACAAGGCATGCAGCTTGTCCAGTACTAGTAGGGTGTAAATGGGGTAAGTAATTCTCCTGTAGAAACAAAACCTGAAGGAAGGCTCATGTATATGCAATTTGGGGATATACTGACCCCTTATAACAGCATTTAATAACCTGAGTGTTGCCATTTTCACTACCAGAATCATTTGGCCATAATGAAATTTCCCACAGTCAGTCTCATGAAGCATTAAGCAGCTTCATTGTTTAGCTGTAGCTTTTCTAGTGAGTTTGTTTTGTTGCCAATGACAGCACAAAGTGTAAGAATGTCACTGGGTTTTGTGGTGCATCAGCATCAGGATAACTTGAATTATCGTTTGGCCAGAATCAGGTCTGTTCTTACAAAACTTTGTGCATAGTTTTAACTGCAAAGGGATGAGAGTTCCTTGTAATGTGTAAATGGGAATGTCTAGGAGTTTTTGCTTGCTGCTGAAGCTTCTCAAGCTTCATGTCATCCCTTCCCACACCTGCCCTCCCCAGCCTCCAAGGTGTTCCCCTGGAGTGCCAGAGCACGCTGGCCTGTCAGTGATCCCAGAGCCAGACCACACTGCTCTGCTGCTCTTGGCTCCACAACTGTGCAGTTGGGAAGATCCTTTCTTCCCCAGCCCTTTGCATCTTTGTATGTATTTCCCCTGGGGTGAGTAGAGAACTCTAAGCATGGATCCTCAGACTGAGAGATGAAATTTTACTTGGTGTAACCAGCTGGGTTGTGGTGACACTCACACTGTACATGGTGGTGACTAACTCCAATTCCTTGTCTCCACAGTTTCAAACAAATGGTTTCATGAAAGAGGAAATGAATTCTTAAGACCTTGTGGGAGAACAGAGGTTGACTGAACCCCAGCCTGCTGCAGACCTTTGTTTCTGTTTCCTTTTCTACTGTTGTTTGTTCCAATTCATTTCTAAGAAATGATCCATCTTTTTCTCCAAGAGTCCTGTCACTTTACACAAAAAGGACAACGACTTATCTAACACCTGTGAAGAAAGCAAATGGTATTGTACACATCCTTGTGTTTTGGGTGCTGTTATTTCCATGTCCCCCCACCTCCCCCCCTCCAGTCTTCCTCTGTAGTAGTGGTGCAAACAGTGCTGTGGGCAATTCAGTGTTTGGGTGCTTGGTCTTGTGCCTTTTGTACCTCAGAAGATTTAGATGTTAAATATTTCTTTGAACCAAAGTTGTTTGTTTGTTTGTTTTTTAAAGTTTTGTGTACATGTTGATTTTGTTGTATTTCTATGGATCACAAGTTTTGAAACAAAAATAAATGTTCTTTCCAGAAGTGATTCTCTGTTTGGTGTCCTTAATAGGTGCATCCGTGCTTGGTTTTGGGGGACAGTGGACCTTTCCTCTTTCCTTTCATTCCTTTCCAGGAATGAGACTCTAGTCTTGTAGATAAGCTGTGTGTGAATAGTTACAGCAGGTAGCTGTAGGAATTGCAGTGTTTTTTCCTGAAAGCTGTAATGACCTGGCACAGCACAGCTCAAGAGCTGCTCTCTAATCTCCCCGGGCGCTCCTTTGCTTGCCATGAATTTTGTGGTTGCTGGCTGCCTGTCCAGAATAGTTCAGTGTTGACCTCCAGTTTTCTTAGTAAAATGTCTCATCATAATATAAACTTGGGAAATAAGGAGCTTTGCTTATAATAAAGCATTTCATATATGACAGTCTGAGATGTGAAGAACAACTGATGATGAGCCAGAGCCCCAATCTCTGGTTGGAACACTTTGGGTTTCAGGGGGAGGAGGAGGAACCTACTTAGACTTTCTGTCAACGTGGTGTGTTGACACATAAAGTTCACATCAGGACTCTGGCCAAACACTGCACATCCCACTTCTGAAACAGCGTAGGGGGCTGGGAAATGCCATTGTTAACTGTGTGTTATCATACTGAACTTTTAAAGATAGTCTTGCTTGCGTGTTTTCTCTGGGTAAAATCCAATCTTCTGAGTTGTCTTCTACCTTGCTCCCATCTAAAGTAGGAGGTGATGAATGTGGATGCAGAACTGCTGGAATGCTAAACTGCTTTTAATGCTGTGTGCAGGATTTGGTTGCTGCTAATCTGATCTGAAGAATAATAGGTAATAAATAAAATAATTTGAGAGAAAAGAACATATGTGGCTTGTGGGATTCAGGAACCTCCCAGGCATGTTTGTATAGTCTGGCAGATTATACTCCCTATTCTGTCTCCTGTTATTGTAGAAGATGAAACACTACCTGGTTCTTACCAGCTGCTCTCTCAACTGCTGGGACACAAACCCACACCAGTGCCTTCAGCAGTGGGATATCTCTTTTTGGTAAACCCATTTTTGTCTTATTTAGTCCTTACCTTGTGAACCTGCCAAAGCAATGAGCAGATCCCAGATTTGCACGGGTGCTTCAGCTTTTTTGTTCAACAAAAGGGTTGGAGAGCTGTTAGGAGGAAACCATTTAATGATGAAATGCCATTTTTATCTCATGCCTGGGAAACCACAAGCTTGAAGCTTCAGAGAGTTCAGCAGCTGCTTGCTAACCCTCATGTAATCAGTGCCTGTCTTTGGCACTTGGCATTCAGTTCTGCCAGGGTGCTGCTCTGACTGTGGTTGCACTTTCTCTTCTTTCAGAAACAGCAGCTCTGAGTTCAGGAAATCAGAAGTGTTTCTTGTACCAGCTGGGAGGTTGGATTTTACAGGAATGGGGTAGGATTGGTGTTCCCAGGAATGCTCTTCTCCCTCAGCTCTCCTGGATAGTTTAATCCAAGGTCTGGCTTTGCCTTCCAGCACTGCCCTGCTCTTGCTTTCCTGGTGGGATGCTGCCAGGTGGGGTTTGTCTCACCCAGTGCCTCCTTAGAGACAGAGGAGCTGTAGGGAACAGCAAATAGCTTGGAAAATACCTTTTCCTCCATTAGATCAGAAAAGGCACCATCAGGATGAGATGAACAAATACATAATGGTCCTATCCACCTAATCATGAACAAACCCCTTCCTTTTCACAACTATTCAAAAGCACCTACCTGGTTTTTACTGAATCAGCACAGAAGTTATTGTTAGAGTTGAAAACAGATAAAACAGGCCAGGAAGATTTTTTGTCTCTAAGAAACCACCATCAGGTACTAAATGTTCTCTAAGAAATGCCTCAGTACAACTCTGGGGATGGATATATAGATAAAGGCAACCACATCTCCCAGCCCTCAGTTAGGAGTGGGACGACTCAGCACTTCTCAGTGCCAGTTGTGCAGCCAAGGGGATGGGGGATTTAACCAAGCCCAGCAGGGCTGAGCAGCTGCCCCCAAAGGCTCAGAAGGATTCAGGAGCTCTGTCCTGAGAATGTGCCCAGAGTTTCCCCAGCAGCACTGTGCTAATCCCACTTTTCTTCTAAATACTTGTCGGGTCAGATCCCTCATGTGTCCTAGACCACAGAGATAGCCAAGAAATCCCTGTCTAAACAAGGGATCTGCCCAGCCATGCTTGTGTTGTCAGGAAGACTTCCTGAGCTGTTAATACATAACAGCCCCTGTTAGTGGGACACTTGACCCATAAAGTCACAATGAGTTTGCAATTTGGGTTTAATCCTATGGGAAATATCCATTTGGGAAATTCTTCAAAGGCAGCACTGTCAAACACTTCCCCTGTGCCCAGACCTTGTGTGCAGGGTGTCCCACACCTGAGTCCTCTGTCAGTGCCCCTGGCCTGTGCTGGGGCTGCCACGTTGTCACAAGGGTGGCTCGAGCTGTGCAGGGAACAGAGGGCTGATCCCATCCAGCTGGGCCAGCTGCTGGCCAGAGAGGCTGGATAGTGTGAGAAGGAACACTGGGAGCTTAGGAGGGAGGAATTAATGGAATTGCTCAGCTGGAAGGGACCTGCAGCAATCATCTGGTCCAACTGCCTGACCACTCCAGGGCTCAATTGTTTCCTGGGAACGAGCTTTCCTTTTTTCAAAGCACTTTCATAAAAAAACACCAAAACCAAACAACTTTAAAATGTTGTTAAGTGTTATTAAAAACAAATTCCTTGTTAAGAAAATGCTGAATTATCTCCTGTGAGTGATGCTCATCCCTTGAGTGCCTGCTTGGCAGCAGGAGCAGTGGCCAGCATGTTGTGGTGGCCCCGAGCCATGGCCAGGTGAAAGGACAGAGCAACTGTTGTGAAGTGCACAACTGAAAAAGTAGATTTCCACAGAACAGGCTGAAGTACATTTCCACGGGAGCTGAAGTAGATTTCCACAGAACAAGCAACAAATAGTTGTGCTCAGTCTACACAATGTCCTTTGGAGAGTGGCAGGGAAAAACAGTGACCTTGTGTCCTAGGCACGTTACCTGGAGTAAGTAAAAAATATTTTACGCATTTTTAGCAGCTTTTATAATTCACAGTGGAGTTGCCCTGAGCTGTCAAGGCTGTGGGATGGGATCTGAGCCACCCTGCAGTGGAAGCACACCTGGGACCTGTGTTGTTCAGCACATCAAACAAGGCAGAGCAGAGTTGAACTCGTTCCAGAGCACCCCCACCTTAGCCCAGCCCTGTGTCAGTGTTCCTGGGATACTGGGTGAGAA